GAAATGATGGGATAACTTTTTAGATCTTATAATATCTTTAAAATATGAAATATATTTTAATATTTAATATTTATTTTAATTAATATTTAATATTAAAAAAAAAAACATAAAAGTTAAAAACTAAAATATTAAAAATTCGTCTTCAAACGAAGCCTTATTATTAGCTATTCAAAGGCGATTGCTTCAAGGTCCATATGTCAAATTTTTATCACTTTCTTTCTTTACCATTATTTGTGATCAAATTGCTAACGTTGTCACATGTGGGAAAGGAAGACATGACACTGCCCTTTCATTCTTTGGATGTAAACATGACACTGGTCTTGGTGATCGTTTGGTAATGTGTTTACATCATAAATTATAAAATTATTAGATAGTGTCATGTATAATCTAATTTAAATAAGTGAATGTAATTAAAACGCTTCTAATTTTGTTGTCATTGGAAGAATGATAAACCTTGTTAATGATTACCACACGAAATGTCATATTTACAGTTGTTGGTAACTATCTCTTAATAATTTAAAATCATTCAATTTTAGTGGAGATAATGGTTGGATTTTAGGAGAAGTTATTGGCCAAGTGCAGTAACTGAGAGATGTGGAAGGCTAATCTGATGAAGTAGTGGACATATGGCAAGTTTTGGAATAGTTTTTCACCAAATTTTTTGCTAACATGTTCAGTCAAAACAAGTCATTTTGACCACGTTTTTGCACCTGAGTTATGGGCGGTTAGAAGCCATTTTTCAAGCATTTATCAATGATAATTATGAAGAAGCAACACATTCAAACGGGGCTTGCCCCTCTCAACACAAAACAACACAACAAAATATCTTAGTCAAGCTCTTAATTAGTTTCTAGGTTAGAAGATCAACTTTCAAACTCTTTAGTTTTAAGTTTTAATTGTTTTATGTGGGATCTGTCCCTTTGCCTTCATCAGGGGTGGCAATTTGCCCTCATTCCCACAGGCCCCGTGAGAATCCCCATCACGAGTTTCTCACTACGAGGTGATAACAAGGGGCATTTTTCTCCCACGAAATTATGTGGGGAATTTTCCCCAACCCACAGGGATCCCCATCCTCACAAAAAATTAAAAAAAAATATAAATTAATTTTATTTTAAATGTAATTCAATCCATTATAGCAATACATACTATACATTTCAAAATTCAAACCCAAACCTAATCCAATTAAAATTAAACTTAACCCAAGTATGTTTATTCCTTACCTCTAAAAAATTAGGAGGGAAAAGGGCAAAAATCACTTTAATACATACTTTAAAAACAAGATAGTCCATGACAGCCGAGAAGTGTTTTTATATACTGTTCTTTGCTATGGAATCAGGTGGGTGTGTCGGGTGTTGGTTTGTTGATTTGAACAGGGAGAGTTGATGAGAATGCAAAAGATGACAGGTTCCCCGTTACGGGTATAGTGTCGATGCTATATTTGGATGTCGACACCTTACATTAACTTTTGATGTTATGGGTTTGGAGTACCCCTTGTATTCTGTTTATTTATTAATAAATAATATGTTCGCTGTTCAAAAAAAAAAAAAGGTAGTTTAGTCTTTTTCAATAAAAATTTATTGAAACGACGTAATTTTGGGATGATTTTCTTTCTAATTTTTAGG